GAGTGCACTAGTGACTTATAAAGCGCATGGTCGATCCACAATTGAGCGCTTTCACGTAGATGTACTGCCTCCGCGTAGATCTCGCGTTTAGCAGCATAATGTAGCCTGCATTGTGTTTCATGCCATCCAGATTACAGGTATCTGGAGTGCAATACAAAGCGCCGTCCACATTCGCTCGTCCAAGAAGCAGTCGCATGTACAAGAGCACCTGCCAAATTCGCCAATGTTCTTGAACTGCACGCCCTCAGGATTGAGACACTCGGTGATCATGCGAATGTTGCTCGGCCATGGCACCTCAATAGGTAGAGTAGGTGGAAAGTTGACCGATGGTGGTGGCTCCTGGTAAGTAGGCCGACGTTGGCGTAGTTCTCGCAGTCGTGTCCGTAGCCCCGTAGACGCAGAAGGGCCTTCACCATCTTTGCCTTTGTAGAGTGAGCATGGTAAAGCTGCGTTCCGCTGCGGGTCAACCCGCACATCGCCTGGTGACGGCGTTTGCGAGAACGTCCCTCGCTCCAGTCTCCAGCCTTCACTTTCCTCTGATGGCGTTTCTTCCGGCGTTGCCAGCGTGTTGGGACGACCTTGACAAAGTCGCTAGCAGTCCGCAGCTGTGCGTCCGTGACCTCGGTTTCAACCACGCGTTCAATGCGTCGCAGTTTGTTCCGCGACCAAGGAGGCGACGACGGCACTTCGTCTTTGATCGTTACGTCCTCCTCATCCTTCGTAGGGCTGTCTACACCCTCCGCAGTGTCTCCTTCCACCTCTGTGTCCTCGTCGTCTGCTGTAAGATCCATGATGGCCTCAGCCGGCGCCTCGAGGGGGTTTGGGGCCAAACCCTCGGGTGCAATCTCTGCGCCAGGCACCGTCAAGCCCATGGAGCTAATTGGCAACGGATCAGTCGCAAAATCGGCCGGGCTGGACGGCCTGGAAAGACCGCGAGCTGCAACATTGAGTTCTGGGTTCAGGAAGAGCCGGTGTGGCTGGCGGTTGCTGATCCCTTCGCATTCCGCTCGTTGTATGGCACCGCTCGCCACTAGAGCTTCGTGGATAGCAGCCTTCATGGCAGCGCCGAGACGATCCGCGGTCGTAGGAGCGTCATGCGTTCCGGCCACCAGTTCGTAGGAGCGCAGCGTGCGCCAGCGCACGCGGTCAATGGATAGCTCGTTTCCAACACCATCGAATCGGCGGCGTACCATGGCGGTCAGTGGCGGCGGCTCTTGCGTGTCCAGCGAGACGGGGAATGGGTTGTTGTCCGTTGAGACCATCTTCAGAATAACCGTAATGAGGTGACCACGCCGGTCGCCGCAGACATTGTAATGGACTTCGTTGCATATATAGGTGATCAGCTATTAAATATTACATATGTAGCATTAGCAGCCGCGAGTAGCGCGGGCTGCGTGTCATGTCCTGATTGGCAG